CTGACAAATGTTTCCTAGTAAATAGCTTAACAATATGAGTTGCAGGAACCAAAAACACATACTTAGAACTTTACTTTCTCCTGCTCAGCTGAGGATCACAGGTCTCTGCCAATAATTTTAACTTCCTAGGTTTTTTGTTCGGTTTTTAGCTCAGAGATTTTGAGCTTAATCAGAGTCCCTGGGTGGTACAAATGGTTAAGGTGCTCAGCTGCCAACCAAAAGGTTGGAGGTTCAAGTCCACCCAGAGATGCCTTGGAAGAAAGGCCTGCTGATTTACTTCTGAAAAATCACCCAATGAAAACCCTATGAAGCACAGTTCTACTCTGATACACGAGGCCGCCATGAGTTGGGAGTTGACTGAAGCTAAATGGTTTTGGTTCTTATTCCATCGATCAATCAAAAGCCAAATGTGGAAGACCTCCTATACTCAAAGCACAACCCTAACAGCATGAAATACACCCAAACTCCTAGCTTATCAACATGGTTAGTTTCCAAAGACCAGGTCATTATGTGAAAATCGGCATTATGTGAAAATCGGCGTTATGTGAAAGTGGAGGATGACCACATCCAATCACAAAACGGAGGATAACTACATCATTACATAACTGCCAACTTACATCATTATATAAGTGCCAAACCACTAAGAACTATCGCCCAGCCAAGCTGACACATAACCTTAACCATCACAGCCAGCGTTACTCTCACCTCACACCTCAGCTTTTTTACTGTCAGATGCACATCGTTAATGTGCAAATAGGCAGATAGTAGATTTTTTACTATTCTCATAAATGTGAAATGTTGGATAATGAGATAGTTGATAAGTGAGGAGTAGGTATATATATGCCTAAGGCATCACTGGTAAAACTCAAGAGCTTTTGAGAAAGGTCACTGCACCCACCAACAGGGATGCTCACATTTCCACCTCCTGCCCCCTGCCAAGACCTTGTTGCTGTTGTTGTTGTTGTTAGTTGCCGTCAAGTCGATGTTGAGTCATGGCAACCCCATGCATGCAGAATAGAACTGCTCCACAGGGTTTTCAAGGCTGTGTCCTTTTGGAAGCAGATCGCCAGGTCTTATTTCTGAGGCACCTCTGGATGGGTGTGAACCGCCAACCTTACAGCTAGTAGTGGAGCCTTAACCATTTGCCTCACTGAGGGACTCTTCCTCAAGACCTAGAACTTTTAGAATAGGTCAGGGCTGGCTTGGAAGTGATTATGTCCCAGAGGTACAACTGGGATGATTTGGCCTGAAGAACCAGGGCTTTGAACTGGTTCATTCCAGTTCGATACCCATGCTGAGAATCTGCCTTTCCACCTCAGATATACTGAATCAGAATCTACATTTTAACAAGATCCCCAGGTGATTCTTACATATCCTCAGGTTCTTGTTAAAATGCAGAGTCTGAGTCAGTATACCTGGGGTGGAAAGGCAAATTCTCAGCAAGGGTTCAAACTGGAATGAACCAGTCAAAGCCCTGTGAAGAACAGAGAGAGCTAAGAGAGAACTTAGTAATAGTTTACCAGTCTGGAGGACGCTCCCATAGGGCTCCAGGTGCTCTGTGTCCACTGAGATTAGAAGAAACAGCTAGGGCAGGCTGGTAGGCGGCAACGGGCAGGGGCTTAGTAAACTAATAGGCTTTCTAAGAGGAGCCTGAGTCTTGTACCTAGATTCTTCTTTTGTCAGGATCACTAGAAATAATCTTTAGTGAGAAATAAATGTGGCCCTGCCCGGTGGGGTGGGGGTGGGGGGGCACATTTGATGGCATTTTCAGGCTCCTTCTAGCCCTCCAAGTTGAGGCTCATTAGCAGTCCCTGTGAATAGGCAAGATGTGATAATGTGAATAAAAGCAAAAACCAATTTACCTGTAAGGCTGGCACAGAAACAACCTCACTGTGCCCATGGCTATCACAGGGACTGAATACACCCCTGGGGTTTCAAGTTCCCTGATGACCAAAGGAGCCTTTAATGCAAGCTGCTCACTGGGCTAATGGTCAGGCCCCGACTGGAAATTCTGAGATCAAGTCAGCCTTTCTACACTCAGGAAGTCAAGACTGCACCTTAAACTTAATGGTCTGATAAGAACAGCAAATACATACTGTCCTTTCCTCTCCTCTCTGCCAGGCATTTAATTGTTTCAACACCCACTTTTCCTACAAATTAACGCTGTTATTATATGCAACCTTGGGAGGGGTGAGCAAGGAGAGGGGACAGAGCATGTACAGGGAATCCCATGAAAGAAGGGCTTAAGGCATTAAGCATTAAAAACATACACAGCTACATTTTCAAAGAACACTATTGAGGTTGTCCTCTCATAGGCTGCGTCTCTTCTATGCTTACCAGAAGCTGAGAAGTCTCTACCTTGCTAGGATTACTAATTTGATCAAGCCTCCCTAAATCAGAGTTATGGGCATTTTGTTTTATGGGAAAGTTAAATTAAGCAATTTTTTAAATGCAAATTAATTATTTCCTAGAACAAAGTTTATCGCCTTGGGCAGTGCTAGAAAATTTTGATTGGGAGGGTTTCACCCCTGTATTTGGCTTTTGTCCCTGAGTGGCATAAATGGTTTGCATTGGGCTATTAAGCTAAAGGTGGGTGGTGTGAACTCACCCAGTGGCAGCACAGTGGAAGAAAGGCCTGGTGATCTGCTTCCATAAAGATTACAGCCAAGAACATTATGGAACAGTTTTACTCTGTAACACACGGGGTTGCCATGAGTCAGAATCGACTTGACAGCAACACGTATTTGGCTTTTATGAAATGGAAAAGCCCTAGTAAAAGAAAGCCTTAAGAACAGAAATCAGAAAATAAAATCATGTATTTTAAAAACAACCAAACTTTTACGTTTAATAGCAATTCATCTCAGTTTCTCGTATTTTCTACATGTTCAGTTCAAACAGAAGTCACAGAAGAGATGACTGCTTTATGAGCTGGAAGGGACCTTCTGCTCAACTGGATGACCCTGAGATACAGCCAAACTCCCATGCAGCAAAGGGCCGGAATGGGGAGCAAGGCATAGCAGAAGAATTTTCAACAAGGGCTGAGACAACATGGGGTTAGTTGGCCACAAAATATGCTTAAATGAGAACATCTCTTCTGCACTCCTCCTACAACCAAACTTATCTCAGTCTATCATTGCTATTGTCTGTTATATTTTGTCCCCACACCCGCTCCCAACTAGACTGTATGCTTGAAAAACTAGAAATACGTTGACTTTTTTCATTATCATACCTGAAGTGCCTGGTGGAATAGCTGGTATTCAATTTTAAAGAGTTAAATTTAAATTCAGCTATGTAAAATTTTGCTGTAATAAGTAAATCTGGCAAGAATGAACAAAGGAATTAAAGGCTTAATATCAGTACCAGCTGCTATTGAGTTGACTTCAACTCATGGTGACCCTATGCGTGTACCCCAAAAAGTAGAAATGTGCTCCACAGAGTTTTCAACGGCTGAGTTTGCGGAAGTAGATCACCAGGCCTTTCTTCTGAGGCACCTCTGGGTGGGCTCGAGCCACCAACCTTTCAGTTGGTAGCTGAGTGCGTTAACTGTTTGCATCACACTAGGGACTCCATTAGGCTTGATAACGTCTCATAGATATCAAAGTTTCTTCCATAATATAAGAATCGACAGCTGGACTCTACAGTTGCTAAACCTACTGAAGGAATCATTAATTTCTTAAAATCTCAGGTTTGGGAAAAACTATTGTTTTAAAACGCTAGTCCTCTTACTCATCAAGATGATCCAGAAAGAAGGATTTAATGGTTTGCTTGGTCCAATTTTAATGAACCCAAACTCCACCTGGAGCCCTGGTGGCGCAGTAGTTAAGAGCTCAGGCTGCTAACCAAAAGGTTAGCCGTTCGAATCCACCAGCTGCTCCTTGGAAACCCGTATGGGGCAGTTCTACTCTGTCATATAGGGTCGCTATGAGTTGGAATTGACTGGATGGCAACGTGTGTGTGTGCGTGTGTGTGTGTGTGTGTGTGTGTGTGTGTGAGAGAGAGAGAGAGAGAGACAGAGAGAGAGAGAGAGACAGAGAGAGAGAGAGAGACAGAGAGAAACTCCGCCTTTGTACTGAAAGAGGAAGGAACACAGAAATCATGTCTGATTATCACTGTTTACATAGTTTCTCACCAGAGGCCCGCAGGCAAAGGGACTGCTTTCTCTAAAGCCCTTAGGAAGTTAAGAAACAATGCATGCAGCCAATGAGTCTGGAATCCCACTTGCAGCCCTCCCCTCTGTACACACTCAAGATTTTTTTTCTTGCTGAACTTATCATTAGTAACTACTTATCAAATCTGCCAATGCTGACTATGTGAAATCCCTCCCCACACCTGTCACTTAGGACTTTGCTTCCTCTTATCTTCCTTTATTGAGTGGGGGCAGAACAACAGGACAGTAGAGATGGTGATGGGCAGTAGGGACCTACTTTTGAAAAGCAGATGGTCTAAAGATATTCTATTTTTCAACATCATTAATGACTTAAAAGCAAGAATTAAGGCAGGAAGCGAAACAAATAAAAATAAAAACCTTACAACTTAAAACTTTTCCGGGGGAAAAATGCTATAAATATTAAAGAAGTACCTATGAGTCCGAATCGCCTCGATGGCAATGGGCTTGGTTTGGGTTTTTTTCAGGGGGGTGGTACAAATGGTTAATGAACTCAGCTGCTAACCCAAAGGCTGAAGGTTTAAGTCCACCCAGAGGTGCCTTGGAAGAAAGGCCTGGTGATCTATTTGCAAAAAATCAGCCATTGAAAACCCTACAGAGCACAATTCTACTCTGACACACATGAGGTCATCATGAGTCAGAGCTGATGGTAAATTTTTTTTTTTTAACAAATATTAAAAGACTTAAAGAGAGCTTTACCTTTAACAGATGGCCCTTATCATTATGTACCTAACCATTACTTCAAATAGCTGGATATTTTTAGCAGATAATTTCCACAATGCCTTCTTAGTGCTCTAAAATCATTTCTCTCAAATGAGACAAACAAGTCCCTTTCTCGAGTATGTAATTTTTATAAATTGCATCAGACAGTGAGTGTCTCTCAATGGGTTTCACCAAAACCCAAGAGAAGTTCAAAGATAAAATTGCAGCAGCAGACCAGGGAAAGAATGTAGAAAAACCATGCAGTCAGAGAGCTAACTCGCAAGCTATTCTTAGTCTTGTGCACAGGATGTCAAGTCCACACCTGAGAGCTAAGAGGACTGTGTCTGAGGTTAGCTGCATGACAGCGGAGCGTGGTCCTATCTCCCCTCCGGGGGTCTTAACTGTAACTCCCGCTCAAGCTGTTCTGCAGTCAGGGTGCCCTGGATGGCTTCGCAGCCCGGGTTGAACACGGAGTAGGCGCTCTTCTCTCCCACTTTCTTTTCTTCAGGGCTCCGTGTCCCGACATACATCCAGTAGAACAACGACAGGACAAAATAAGCCAGGCCAAATTCCAGCTCCACAAACAGTCCCAGTAGGACCAACCAGAGAAGAACCTTCAAGACGGTGATATTGGTCAGCAAAGACTGGTCATGGCGTGGTGGCAGAGGAATGGCTTTATTCCGTGGTGGCTGTGATGTGCTGCCCCCAGGCTGAGCTGCTTTCTAAGACAAGCAAGCAAACAAAAATAAGGATAAAGGGTAATGGAGCTGAGAGGATCAAAACCAATCTAAGAGGCAGTTCTCATTGCTCTAGGAAGCCCGCCGGCTCACTGATGTCTATTTTCTTGCCCTACTCTCTAAAACAATCATCTCCAAAGAGTTTATGTGCCCTTCTCCAACCGAATCAAAACTGATCAGCACTTAGTGAGATGTGACCCAATAAAAACCTTACAGCATTCAGATGGATTCCCATTCATGGGAGGCATTTCCTCAGATCAGTCTGCTGCAAACAAGAGCTCATTTGTGCCCAATACAGCAACTCCCCAGTAATTGATAATGGAACAGCCACGACATCTGCTTCACATACAGAGTCAATAAATGCTTGTGGATTTGATTAGCTGAGCTAAGATTTTTGTGAGGGACATGATTCTAAAATGGAAACAAAAGTCCCTTTCATGTGTTTTTTTTAAAAAAAATCACTGCTGTAGTCATTCCTGGTCCCTCTTACCCTTCCCTTCCCTGCAACTACCCTACATAGGTCCTCATCACTCACGCAAGGGCCCCAGCAGTGTGTCCTAACTGGTGTCTCCCCTCCCCAAACCATCCTGTCTGTTGTTGTTGTTGTTGTTAGGTGCTGTTGAGTCGATTTGGACTCGTACCTACAGCCGATATGATAACCAACTCCACATGACAGAGTAGAATTGCCCCATAGCGTTTTCTTGGCTGTAATCTCAATGGAAGCAGATCATCAGGTCTTCCTCCCTTGGAGCTGCTGGGTGGGTTCGAACTGCCAACCTTCCGGTTAGCAGCCGAGAACTTAACCACTGCACCACCAGGGCTCCTTTTAAACCATCCTCCATACAACTGCTGCTCACAAACCTCACAAACAAATTTTCATTGCCTACAAGTTAAAAGACAAACTCCTTGGGCTGGAATCCAAGCCCTCCATTTAGTCAACAAATAGAAACGCCATCACCCAGGCCTCTGTACTGGGTGCTAATGGGAGACACAGGTATATAGGTAGCTTTATCTCTAGTCAGGTATTTTTCAAATGTTTTGACCATGACCCATGATGAGAAATACATTTTACATTATGACTCCACTTACATACATACACATATATTATCTGAAACAAAAGTTTCACATAGCAATACTTACCCCTACTACATTTGAAGCTCTCACATTTTATATTCTATTCTAGTTTTTTAAAATTATTTTTAATGGGAGGAAAGATGCTGTAAATTGAATTTGCCACCTGCTAATGGGTCTCGACTTGCAGCTTGAAAAACACTGGTCTAAAAGATTTTATATACAAAGCAATCCATAATCTGTTGCTCCACAAATGAATCCTCTTCTCCAGTTAACCAGTAACCGGCTGACACCAACTCACGGCAATCCCACATACAGTACAACTGAGCTCCATGGAGTATTCTATGGCTGATTTTTCAGAAGTAGATCTTCAGGACTTTCTTCTGAGGCACCTCTGGGTGAACTCAAACTGCCAACCTTTCTAGTTAGCAGTTGAGCATGTTAACCATTTACACCCTTTCACGAGTTAAATTGGCCTTTTTACCCAAGACATTTCCCGTCTGTGATCTGGAATTGCCTGTTTCCTCTCCGTTTCTGAACTCCTTGCCTTCCTTCCAGGCAAGCACCATTTGTGAACTACGTACCTCCTGACCTCCTCAGCCATCAAGGATGGCATCCCTGTCTGCTTCCCAGAGCACTAACCAGCTCTCTTACTCACAGAGCACCAAATTATGCATTGAAGTGTCTCTCTTTTCATATATATTATATGCATCCCTAGATTGTTTGTAAGTACACCATGAGGCCACGGGCATTTGTTTCTATCTTTTGGTATCTCCAGAGCCAAACACAGAACCCTACACATAAATTCTCAACACACAGTCGAACTTTCAGTTCATTTCTTCAGTTAGATCCCCTATTCTTCTTCACATGAAAATATACAAGGTGACCACAAATGTTGATTACTTGGTCAGCTGATTAAAATACTAGTCTTCTAATGCATGGTGCTTGAGAACTTCTATTTGGTTAAAAACCTTTTTTAGCATCAACCTTGTAACTACTATCTTTTTGGCTAGGGAATTCTGATTGAAAAGGCCCTTAAGATATCATTAGCACCACCATCCACCTCCATATATTAAGTAAATAAATGTCCTTTTCAGATCTGACCAGTGTGCACAACACTTCTTGTCCAAGAAAAGGAATGTATCAGGGTAGGAAAGGTTGTCTTGTCTGGGAACAGGACAGATCTTAGGACTGGAGTGTCCTGGGCAAGGGGGAGAGTGGTGCAAGATGACAGCAGGGGGAGGAAGCAGGAACCAGGCCACGTAGGGCCAGGCAGGCTGCAATAAGGATTCTGGAAATTGGAAACCACTAAAGGTCTTAGTAGGGAACGACTACACATTTCAGACTTCCCTGGCTGCCGCTGCCGAGTGTACAATGCGCTGCCAGAGAGCATGAGTAGAAGCAGAGGGATTGTTAGGAGCTGATGCAGCAGGCCCAGCAAGAGACGCTCATGCATAGATTAGGGTGGCAACAGAGAAACTGAAGAGAAATGATGGATACAGAATACATTTGGGGGACAGAACTGACTTGAAACTCATAGTAAACTGAATTGACTTTGTTATTTGGTGAGTATAAAATGAATAATGCTCATGGCTACCATTTATTGATTGCCTTTAAGATGCTTGATCTCCTGAAGTCCAGAAGACAGGCATTATTAGTCCCTATTTACTGATAAGGCCACGTTGAGAGGTGAAGTAACTGCCCCAAAGTCACGCAGCTAGTGATAGGCAGAGATGAGGTTCAGTCTTAGGGCAGTCTCCTCCAAAGCCCTTTTTATTCAATTAGGGAGTCCCTGGGTGGTGCAAACCGTTAATGTGCTCAGCCGCTAACCAAAAGGAGTCCACCCAGAGGCACCTGGGAAGAAAGGCCTGGCAAGCTACTTCCAAAAATGAGCCATTGAAAACTATGGAGCACAGCTCTATCTGACATACATGGTGACGCCATGAGTCAGGGCTGACTCCATGGCAAACTCTATGTTTTTGTTCTAATGGGGGGTAGGGGAAGGATTAGAGAGCTAGAGGGAGATGGAAGGGAAACAACTGGCAAAGGGAACAAATGAGAGTGAAGGGGGAGATGCAAATTCCTCTGCCTCCTTTGGAATTTGTTCTAGTACCAGTCCACCTTCTGTAACACTTAAACCAGTAAAAGCTGTGTGCAGAAGTGTTTATGGTCCTCACATCACACATAGGCAAAGCTTTGGCCAGGCATTTCTGTTCCACAGATGTCAAGCTGCTTCCTATCTTGGGGCCTTGGCATTTGAGGCTCCCTCTGAGAGGAATGCCCCCTTCCCCTGACTGGCTCCCTCTACTCCTTCAAACCTCAGCAAAAATGTCGCCCAGTATACCCTTGGCCCTGCTCCCAGTTTTCTGGAGCACAGTGGCTCCTACTTGTCAAATGTCACCTCCTCTGTGGGGCCTTCCCTGAACACCCAATTTAAAGTAGCACTCTGCTCCCCTCACCCCCAATTCACTATCACAGTAGCCTAGATTTTCTTTCTTTTTTCTCTTCCTTGGTAGCATTTAACATCTTATTCTTTTGTTTATTGTCCTCTTTCCCTCCCTACCCCAAACTCCAATGCAAGTTCTATAGAGCATGGCCTTAATCTGCCTTTATCACACTCTGTCTCCCAGGATGTAGGGCAGTAGCTGGAACATAGTGGGCACATGATAGGATTTTGTTGAATGAATGAATGATGGTAAGGGAGAGGGAGAAATCAAAGACAACTCCTAGATTTTGGGAGACAATGCAAGGCTGTGCTTAGCCAGGTTACTCCGAGGAAAGAAAGCATTCGAGCAGTAGACCTGCCTAAGCCAAAGTTTGGAGGTGAGGAGCGGCTAGATGAGTGTAGGGGATGGACCCTGGGCTAGATGGAACACTGGGTGCTTGGGTGTGATACAGCTGTAGAAAGAGGCAAGGGGCTTCTGTATGATTTAAAACAAACAAAATAGCTACAAGTATTTTTCTCCTTGATGTGGTGGAATTCTATTTTGTAAGGCTGCTTTTTCCCAAAAATAATTCATTAAGTACTGCCAGGGGTAGGAGTAGGGGGGGATGTGGTTGCTTCTTGTCAATGATTACCCAAAAGAAGCAATCACAAAAAGAAGACTAAAGAAATCTCTGGCAAACCACACCGTGCCACCAAAACTATTAGGTGGAGATGGATGGAATATTAGAAAAAAAAAATTTTTTTTTAATGAGAATTTTCACACCAGAACAAACCCAGGAATGATAACAGTCAATGAAAATGAGTTTAAGGCACAGTCCCTTACAAAAAACACAGCAATTAATAAGGACCAACTCGAGGCCCAGCATTTCCTCTTATTCTTTTGTCAGGCCATCAGCTTTTGGGGTTTTAATAATGGAAGCTTTCTACAAGTTCACCTTGTCTGGGTTCAACTCAATGATCTCATATTCCTTTGGAAATAAGACATACAGTCAAAAAACTCATTGTGTGGGTCTGACATTGTTTTTTAACTGCAGGGGAAATGGATTCTAAAATCTTAAGCAATTGTGCTCAGTGAGTTCTAATCAACAATCAAGTTATCCAAAGACAATTGAGACAAACTGAACCCAAGGAAATGAATTGTTTGAACCCTGTTGCACTTTTTTTTTAACCTTTTCTGCAAGTCAGTTGGAACCCTCGGTATTATGGAGAATAATATCGAATCAAAATTGAGCAACAGTAAGTTCCTCTCAATTAAAAAAAAATTTCCTAATATCACATTGTTCACTAATAAATGAAATTAAGGGAAATGATTTTAAAGGAACAATGCACTTTTGTTCCAGTGCATTTTTATTTTGAAAAGGAATTTTTTAAGGAACAAAGGCCTTACTGTTTCAAAGCACGGACTTTCCCTTGATATGTTTTGTCCTGTATTCCCATAGTGACACTCCAATCTCACACAGAAATCACCTTGCCACTTTACTCATGAATGAAAACTAAACGAAGCGACGAAGAGATGTGACTCAGGTCCGTTGGCAGAATACAAGGGATATAAAAAAAAACTGAAGTAAGGGTTAAAAGGCTATATCATACTAGCCCAAATACTGTTTTCTCTTCGAAAATTCATTATGGAACCTGAATAAGTTTCTCTAGTCCGACAGCAATAAACAAGCACATGTCATCACTGGCAGTTACAGCTAAAACACTTTTGTATTTAAACCCCGTTTCTAAAGCACAGGCTGTCTGGGTTACTGGCTGCATGTATCCCAGGTGTGAATCAAATGAAGTCTTAATTACTGCCACTTTTTATCAGTATCCAATTAGACCTTTTACCCTCCATTAGCAAGGGGCTGTGGCTCAGCACGGTTATCTGGAGACTTTTCCCAAAGCCATAGGGCATCACAACGATAACTCAACCCGCTGTAGATAATTCAGGTGCATAGATGATTTCTTCCAGGACCCTAGACCCGCCCTGGAATCAGGGGCTGCGTTGGTCACCAGCTGGAAAGAAAACGTCAAAGCCACGTATCAGTGCTGACACCTGTTGCCGGACACGCTAGGTCCAGCCCCCGAAAAGTTGGGGCGGGGTCTGCGTGCAGTCACGTGGTGGAGTGGTGGCCTCTCCCCGGTCGGGGGCGGGGCCTCGGCCGGAGTTTTTAGTGGGGCCATGACGGTTGCACAGAAACCCAGGACGTAGGGGTGAGGCTTCCCTCGTCTCACCTGAGCGTGGCTGGGTTGGGCCCGGGGGCTCGCGGGCCTCGCTTTCCACACCAGGAACCGTTTTAGCCAGCCCGGGGATGCTTCCGCCTTCTCTCCCGAGGTTTGTGAGATCTGGTTTGAGGTATTCAGTCCTGCTGCCAGCCCGGCCCGTTTTCGGGCCGCTCGGAACTCGGCTAACCGTTGTTCCATGGCGCACGCCCCTCTCCCCGCGTACCCGGGAGCGCGCGCGCCCGCGGACGCCTTCACCCACTTTGCCTACGGTTGGACCGTCGTGCGCCTGCGTGGCCGCGGCTATTGGCTGCGCGTGCGCGCTGTTGTGGCCCGGGCAAAGTGTCTTTCAATGTTTTGTCTGTAGTTGTGACGTCCAGTGGGGAATATCTGTACTCGTAATAGTCTCGTCAAACGCACATGGACACTGCGTCCACATCCTCATGCTATAGTTAAAAATCTTAAGTACAAAGACTGTCTCATTGTTTCTCTGGCCGTGGGCTCCATTGAGGGAATCTCGTCCTGAGGGCTCTGGTTCCCAACAGGTGGAGCATCCTTGGCTATTGAGCGCTTATCTGGACACCAATGCTGAGCACGAAATTGGGAATGTCATCCCAAGGCATGGGAGAAGGCCCATGATCTCTGAGAGGTTCTGGTGTTAGAAGGAAGACAGTATACATCCTATTTTCCTGTTATCAGGATAGGCCAACTTTAGGTACTTGGAGGGTTACTTTCCCACACCTCGTGTACCAGGCTCTCCAGACCTCTATCGTTGCTCTTACCACACTGGAAATTAACTTGTTACTGTGTTTAGATAGGTCAGAAACTTTTTATTTATTTATTTTATCAGGGTGCAACTCATAATAAAATGGACACATCTTAACGTGTATAGCTCAATAAAGTTGTTCTGACGTATGCACGTATATGACCACCACCTAGATAAAGAACATTTCCAATACCCCAAAGGCTCTCTTGAGCTCTCTCCCCATCAGTAACCGCCCAAAAGGTAACCACTATTCAGTTAAGGTCAGGAACTGTTTTATACACTTGAAGCTCTAGCATCTAGCTAAGAAGCCTTGGTCGGGCCGTGGTTAAAGCGCTCTGCTGCCAACGGAAGGTTCGGCGGTTTGAACCATCAGCTGCTCTGTGGGAGAAGGCAGTCTGCTTCTGTGAAGATTCACAGCCTACAGGGCATATCTACTCTGTCCTATAAGATCGCTTTGGGTCAGAATCGACTCCACAGCAGTGGGTTTGGTGTCGGTTTAGCATCTAGCTGCATGTCTCTCACAGAATTGAGACTCAGATATTTACTGGATGTTGCCGAGTTTGCATCAAGAACTAGACAAACTGGACTCTTTCATTTAACAGATAGTGAGAGTCTGCTGTGTGTCAAATATTGTACCAGGCACTAGGGATGCCACAATGAATGAAACAAAGACCCCTGTTCTCTTGGAGCTTACATCCTAAAGGGGAAGATAGACGATAAGGAAATACACACCTAACTAATGAAATTTCAAGTATTGATTAGTACTATGAAGAAAAAAGCAAAGTAAAGAATGGAAGTAGTGGAGCTATTTAGAGCCAACTACCAGGGAAAGCCGTTTGAGCAAGAGACCTAAATGAAATGAGTGAGGCATGTGGATATCTGGAGAAGAGTGTTCAGGCAGAGGAAACAGCAAGTACAAAGATCCTGAGATCTTTAGTAGTACCCTTGACCTGCTCATAGAACATCAGAGAGGCCATTATGACTGGAGCAGAGTGAAGGAGGGAAAGAGAGAATGGTAGAAAATAAAGATGCACAGGTAGCCAGGGGGCAGATCATGCAGGGCCTCTCAGGTCACCGTGAAGATCCTGCATTTTATTCTAAATGTGATGGGGAGTGATTGGATGGTTTTTTATCAGGTGACAAGATACAACATAAAGGATCACATTGGCTGCTGGGAGTGGGGTGCTGGAAGAGAAGAGTGCAAGAGTAGAAGAAGGGAAACCAGTTAGGAGTATAAGATTATGGTAGTTTGGGCTAGAATAGTAGTAATGAGGTGGTGAGAATTGGTCAGATTCTGAATATATTGTGAAGATAGAGTCAACAGGATGTGCTGATTGATTGGATGTACAGTGTGAGAAAAATTGAAATCAAGAATGACAGATTTCTGCCCCCTCCCCCCGCCCCCACCCACACACATACACTGATCAAACATTTGATTGCTGGAGCCATTTACTGAAATGGGGGAAGACTAGGAAGAGAGGATTATGGAGTAAACGTGGATTCTTGGTTGACAGTGTTTTTCTTTGAGCAATTTTAATATGCTGTCCTACTGCCTTCTGACCTCCATTTGTTTCATTGTGAAGTCAGCTGTTAATCTTATTGGGGTTCCCTAGAACATTTCCTTTGAAATCCTCTGTGTGCTTGTATGTCCATTCCTGACTCCTTCCCCACCCCCACCTCAGAAGTAACCCCTATCCTGAATTGTATGTTTATCACACCTTTGCTTTTCCTCATAGTTTTGTCACCTAGCTACATATATCCTTCCTTTTATTTTTCATATTTATTTTTTTTAATCCATGTAAAATTTATTTTTGTGTATAGGATGTGAGGATGGAGTCCCTGGCCGGCACAAATGGTTAAGTGTTCCATGACTAGCCAAAAGGTTGTGACTTGAACCCACCCAAAGAGATGCCTTGGAAGACAGGCCTGGCAATCTGCTTCCCAAAGGTCACAGCCTTGAAAACCCTATGGAGCAGTTGTAATCTGCACACATGGGGCTGCCATGATTCAGGATCAACTCAACAGCAGCTAACAACAACACAGCAGTGGTGTGAGGTAGGGATCTAATATGGATATCCAGTTGTCTAAATATCATTTATTGAGTAATCTATCTATTTTCCCACTGATTTGGAATGCCAGGTCTTTCATATGTTAGGCTTCTATGTACACAAGAATCTGTCTCTAGGCTATAGTTTTGTTTTAGATCTAGTAGTCTGTCTATATACCAAAACCCTGTTGTCTTAATTACTATAGCTTTATTAGTCTTGGTATCTAGCCAGGTAAGTACTCCCTTTTAGGGTTTCATCTTCATGAGTGTTTTCACCCTTAGATCTTTCATAAACATTTTAAAATCAGCTTATCAAATTCCATGAAAAGCCTTACGTTGAATAAATGGGTTACTTTGGGAAGAAGTGACAGTTTTGCAATACTGAGTTTTCCTATTCATTTACGTGATATGTGTCCCCATCAACTTAAGTTTTCTGTATCATCTTTGAATAAAATTTTATTATTTTGTACATACAGCTTCCGTGTATCTTTCGTCAGATTTATTCCTAAGTGCCTTATATTCTAATGCTATTTTAAATGGCAACCTTTGTTCTTTATTGCATTTTCTGTTTGTTAGTAATGTAATTGGATTTCAACTCTGGCAAACTATCAAAACTCTTACTAATTATAATTATCTCTAGAAAGGAGTTTTCTGTGCAGACTACAATATCTGTGAATAATAATAGATTTCACTCTTTTCAGTCATTAAATCTTGTATTTATTTATTTTATTTTCTTACTGCCCTTGCTAGGGCTTCCAGTACAATGTTGGGTAGATGTGTTCACGTGGACATCTTTGTCTTACTCCTGATTTTAAAGGGAAAGTTTACAATTTAAGTATGAAGTTTGCTGTAGGTTTATGGTAAATACCTTTTGTAATATTAAGGAAGATCTTTTTAATTCCTAGTTGCTGACCTTTTCTTTATTATATAGGAGAATTTTATTAAATGCTTTTTCTGCATCAGTCGAGGTTGACATTTTTTCCCTTTAATCTATTAATGTGGTGAGTTACATTAATAAATTTTCTATTGTTAAACCATCATTGTGTTCCTGGAATAAACCAAACTTAATCACTTTATAAATTATATATTAAAAGAGCTAGATTCAGTTTGATAATATTTTGTTTAGGAATTTTATATCTATATTCATTAACACTATTTTCTTATAATTTTCTTTTCACATGCTGTCCTTGACAGTTTTTGGTATCAGAGTTATATTAGCTTCATGAAATAAGCTGAAAAGTGCCCCCTCTTTTTTCCGCTATTTTCTAGAAGAGTTTGAATAAAATAGGATTAACTATTTCTTGAATGTTTGGTAGGACTTAGTAAAACCATCTGGACCTTATGTTTCTTGACTCAGATAAGTAAATATAAGCTACAATTAAGTGGATTCATAGCTGGTCAACAGAGATTTACCCAATAAGTGTTAAGAAAGGATTAGCATCAGTCTTTCCTGTCTGATATTTTTAGGATTGGACTTAATGGCAGCGGGTTTTTGGTTTTTGGATGAAAATATAAAAGGCAATTTATCGTATTTTCAGGTGACAGAAATTTGGAAGAGATGGTCTACAATTATGTCTTTAGTGTAAAACAATAAAGTAGAATGATTTTTTTGTTCAGTTAATCATATTTAAAAGGCTGTGGAGATGCTGAGAGGGAATGCTACCTCCTTCTAAGTTTACATGTGTGTTTTTGCATTTTTGCTTTTGTTTCTTAATCGTTGCCTTGAGAGTACTTTATTTCAGTAGGACTTGGAGCTTTTCCCTGACCACTCACCAGTTATGAGGTGGGGTATGTGGTAGATGCTTTAGCTGCTACAGCGAATCCCATTGTCACTGTGAGGGATGACCTTATCAACCCCAACCCCCGTGCTCTCCTGCTCTCTTTGGTGCCCTGCAGGCACCGTGTGTAAAGTTCTGAGCACTATGCTTTTATGACAAGCCAAAGAATAATTCAGATGATAGTGCCTGGACAGTGATGGGTCTAGACTAGGGGTTCTCAGCCTTCGCACTTACGACATTTTAAACCAGATAATTCTCCATTGTAGGGGGCTGTCCTCTGTATTGCAGGATTCTTAGCAGTATCCCTGGCATCTGCCCAATAAATATCAGTAACCTCCCCACCCCAGTTGAATTGTGACAACCACAAGTGTCTCCAGACATTGCCAAAGGTCTCTGGGCATGGGGGTGAGGGGGGTTTGCCCCAAGTAGAGAACCACTGGTCTAGAGACCATATCATAGTAGGAATAGTTAAAGGCGGTAGATGATTTGGGACAGAGAAAGTCATAGTGAAAACATACCAACTGGTTTTAGAAACTGTATTAAACTATTGTGAAGGGGGTGGGGATTATTCTGTGGAACTCCAAAGGGCAGAACTAAGGCTATAGTTGTACATTACAAGGTGACAAATGTGGGATTTGGGAAAAAAAGTGAGAGAGCTTTTGCAGCAACTTAGTTTTTCCAGCAACAGAATGGGCTGCCTTACAGAGCAGTGAGCTCCCTGAAACTAGCAGTATTCAAACAGAGGCTGACTGATCAGGGTTGTTGTGGAGGGGATTTCTGAACTGAGGAGGGATGCTAACTATGTTCCTTTCAACTGGAGAACTTTATGTGTCGATCCAAGAAGAGGCAACTGGGAGGGGAGAATGGAATACTAGGGGCATTAGGCTTAGAAAGTGTAGCAGAAAGTATAGGTCCCCTGCCCATATCCCCTCAGATCTTGCTGTTGCTGTACATGCTGATGGCTTGTTTCTAGGAGAACCTGAGGGCTTTCTCTAGCTGCAGGAGTGTGTTTAACTAGTGTGTGAGGCAGGTTCGTAGTGCTGAGGAATTACCCCCCCTCCCCC